AATAACTATTATAACTTCACATTTGCAAGCATTTAAAAAAAAATGCTAGCGAACTATTCCTTTTATTCCCGAGTCAACATGGTCAGGGTACATTACATTTTACTATAAAATTATCAATACTTTTGTATGGCACAATTCATGTATGAATTGACTTTAGTCATACATATACAGTGTATAAATCAATACAGGTAATGCAACTAAAGTAATTAAAACATTCTAAAGCTGACAAGATTCAATTTTTAACTAAAAATAAATATATTGTTTGTATGCAGAAAACAATAAAAAAAATGACAAGTGTTTTATCACTCAGGGTAGAGGAATGTAGGGCGAAGAAAAGTTGGTGTAAAACTTTCAGGTAGGTATAGAAGCTGCATATCGTCAATGAAACGTTTATCTGAATACTGATTTATGGTACATGTACTCCCATAATGTGAATACTGAAGTAGATTTTCCATACTTAGAAATGTTCTGAGTTTCGGATAAGATCTTCTACACTGTACAGGGGCCAGTCCTTTATTATTTACCTTAGTTAACATAAACTCTCCCTCAGGTCTTTGTAGAATGAACAGTAAATTAGCGTCAGAAAAGTGATTCTCTTCACATGCATGTAGTATTGTGTCACCATCAAGGCTAGTAGATTTGTACTCCAGATGATCATTAAATTTATGTAATAACTTCATAACCATGTTTTCATTATTCTCAGCATGTATTATTCCTGTTATAAGAAGTTCCTTATAATCATGCAAAAAATTTAACACTTTCAACTTTTTACAAAATTCATCAAAAACCTCACCCCCATCCTTGACTATGCAAGCATCAAAAAAGAACAACACATCTATAGGTGTGAAGGAATCTATAAATTGAAGATATTCAAGGGCAATATCAAACTTCCAGTTCCCAATACACTCTAGCACTATACATTTGTAAGCTTCTTGCTTTTCATTCTCAGATGGCAGTAACTCTGTCAGTTTTGTTAATGCCTTCAACCAATCAACACATGCAGACTCATAATGATTAATCAGAATTGATCCCATTAGCGACTCAGTATCACGGATTGAAAAAACAGCTTGAGTGTCTCCATCAGTCTCTAAATCATTGTCTCTGGTAAGCAGTAGGTCAAGCATTCCAAGAAGACACTTATTAGAACCATTAAATGAAGCAGTAGACAAAAAATCCCTCTTTCTATAACCTTTTTCTAGAAGATCAGCCACTAATAATTTTCGAAATTCACAGTTATTAATAAATTGGTTAAAAGTTTCTAAAAGGTCATGAGTCAAAATGACAGAAAATATTTCAAAGTCAAGCTTAAACAGATTAGAAAATCTTTTGATTGTTTCACTGGCTAGCACATCTTTCTTATAATTGCAAGCGCCAGCCACAAAAGAGTCTAAAAACACACTGAATTCTGGATCCTTCTCTACTCTGTTCAAGAAACAAGAGACCAACAGTTCATCATTAAATGACGGATGTTTGTAAACATCTGTGTATGCATCAGCTTTATTTGGATAAATCTTTATCAACTTTTCAGCTAGAGGATCTGTCATATCATCCTCTAAATGTACACAAATCTCCCATTTTTCTGGTATATAATTATTTGATCTAACATACGTAAACACATCATTTTTGTTCACAAGTTCTAAAAATAAAGATGGAAAACTCTCCCCAAATGACAGTAAAATTGCTTCATAAACAACCATATGCTTAAGCTTGTACCTATCATCATTAATTTGTATAAAAATGTTTTGCAAATCATTTAGGCTACCTTGAATTTCAGCTCTGTTCATCTGGTGTGATATGAAGTGAAACAAATAAATTTTTTCTGCAATTTCCTTTATCTTTGATCTTCGTTTCGTTATTTCTTGTATAGAGTACGCTTTCTCTGTTAAAAACTCCAAGAAGAACAAAACTAATATAACATAATGCAAATACATCTTTTTGCATAACAAGTCATCAACTAGTTTTTTAAAATGATAACATGCTGAATTGGTGGTGAAAAAATTTGACCTTTGTTTCAAGGACTCTGGGTTGCTAAAAAACTCTTCACATAATAGAGGAAAACCACTAACAGTTGTCGATTGTGCGATATTATTCAAAGTATCCTCACACAGACACAAAGCACTGGGATCAAAAACCTCAAAAGATCTATTCTCCTCAAACTCTGACTTACAAACTGAAATGTTGTAAAATTTACAATATCTGTACAACATTGATCTCTTTTCTTTGAAGGACATACCAAATACTGACCCTGAAATATCAACTTTAGAATTCCAATTCTTAAAACTGTTAAATAAAATATAACCTTTCAACTCATCTTTCTTTAAACCCCAAATACAATTTCGTAATGAAAATATAACAAATGTAGGAAATTTATCATCACTTACACGAAGATGCATCGCATCAAAAACCCTTCTCCATTCTTCAAAATCCTCTATCACTAACACTTGACTTTCCTATTATATCATCAACAAAAATAACAAACTTTTTATCCAGTGATATAAATCTAAACCACTGACTACTTTCTGTAAGAATAATAGGAACACATTCTGGGTTCTTCCTCTTTATATGCTGCATCAAATGAAGTCCAAAGCTCGTCTTTCCACTTCCCGCCTCCCTCGTTATACAGATAAACCTGTGCTTTTCCATATTCTTGAGGCAGTGTTGCATGGCTCTCTTTGGTTCTACATAGATCATCTTCTCGTGAGCATTTAGTTGTGAATCTGTGTAAGCTATATAGATATTTTTAAAAAGTTAGAAATTAGACGACTATTAACTATTATAGATTAAATTTACAAGCTTAAAGAGATATAACAACTTCATATTCACATGTACTCAATATATCCTTGAAATAATTTTAGCATTAAGAAATTACTGTCAATTTAAACATCTATAAGCTTACAATACAAATAATGAGGCAGAAGACTTTGACGAGGCTGTAGCTCAACTGGTTTCAAATTTTAATAGTCCGAAACTTTTATTTAGCCTGTAACAGTAAATTGTTCTGTTTAGAGTATTATACCGGTAAATACAACAACGCCACCACAAGGCAGAGCATCCCCTCAGAAAACAGCATTCATCTATAAATTATTCAATATTGATATTGTTGCAAATTACATCATTTCCATTATGCACACAAGGTCAAACTATCCCAACCCCTAAATTCTATTGTGAGGGGATAATTATGCATCATATTGTTTCCTAGACGTGTATCAATTTAAGTTATGTACAGAAATGCAACCAAACGGGGGGAGATGAGCCATTTTGAATATGTAACAGACATATGGACAAATGACAGACGCTTTACTATTGCAAAGCTCTTAAGGTTCTAACACTGAAGCTATCACAAAAAAATCAAGACTAGAAATAACTTACAAAGCAAGTTTTCCAGCTCAGGGTTATTCTTTGGGTATTTCACCTCCTGAAAGAACAAAAATAAAAACATATAAAAAAGTATTTTTTGAGGTTTAAACATCTGTAAATACTGTACATGACCTACTGGTAGTGTACGTGTTCTGGTTAATTTTTGTACCTTGCAGACTGTGGATATAAACATGAAGAGAGAACAATGGCGAGGGAAAGAGTGGGGAATGGAGAGAGAGAAAGAGAGAGAGAGAGAACCTGAAGTTGTGTTGCTATGGCTGTTACATCACTGAAAACTTGTCTTAATCTCTGGCAGAGGTCAGGCATCTGTTGTCCATCACTTGGGCTGCCAAACTCCTTATGGAAGAGAACATTCATTATCATTTAAAATAAGTATACTTGATATTTATTGTCTTCTAATCTTCATGATCTTTTTCCTTTCAAGTGCACCACATGTTTACATGAAAGAATTTGATTTTCATTACATCTTCAACGTGTACTATATCATAATTAATATTGTGTGCATTTTTGTAGTGAAAGAAAGGTAGTTGAAATATAAGTATAAGCATTACGTTGCCAAGAAATGAATGAGTTGAAATAATATAAAAAAGTACGAATTTAAGTTAACCTTCGACTTTCAGTAAGGCATGGTATTTGTGTCTGAAATTCACACAGCCTTTCATTCACTGTTGAAATATACATTCCAGCAATTATCTTCGAGTGTTTCAATCCAATGATCCAGTGACAGTGTTTCGAACAACAGAGAGGTGGGGAGTCGTTTCATTATTGTCAATAATGATTTAAAGTTGGTGATGATATTTTAAAATTTATTAACCATTGAGAATCTTTTCGCCATTAGAGAAATGTTAATCACATAATGGAGAGAAAGTAACGCCCTACTGAGAGTCCAAGGATAACTGAGATTAATACTTTTCATCAACATGGTCAATAGATTTAATTCTAAATATTGTAACCAGATGTCTCTGTCGAGACTGATCTTCCACTGGTTCTTATAGCAAGGGAAGAGAAAAGTACTTAATAAGCAGTTGGGAATTGAAACTTTACAACAGCAATAAATATAATAATAATACTTGATTTAGTCTCTTTATGTTCTTAGTGTAGTCTACGTGATTGCCATATCATATTATAATCAGACTAAAACTGTATTTGGAGTAGCATTTTGAAAGTATTTAACAGAAATTTCTTTTTATAGTAACTACGACAACAAACTTCATCCAAATCAAAAACCGAAATATAGAATTGTGTATCTTAATGTAATCTACTTGTGTGCCAAGTTATATTGAAATCAGACCAAAACAGTAGGAGGAGTAGTATTTTGAAAAATTGTTTATAGACAGACAAACTGACAGTAAACAGCTGAACGCCGGATGCATTACTATTGCATTAATCTCTGTTAAGATTCTGCTGGGCTAAATATTTGTACTTGACGCCAGCGTCAAGTCCAAATATCTAGCCCAGCAGAATCTTAACAGAGATAACTATCGCATAAGCTATTCTGGTCTCTTATCAGTAGAGTTAAAATCAGTTACTCCAAAGTTCATTTCTATCTACGATAAAACAAATTCATATGCATTATCACTGTTTTCATCACTTTTCCTTGATACATGTAATGATGTTGATACCTGTAGCTTTTTCCACGCGTTTATTGATGAGTTGGTGTCTTCCTTGGAGAGTGGTCTTGTTTTCAGACTGTCCACTTCATCCCTAATCTTTGTGTAGAAATATGGCTCACACTTCTCAGCTACTTCTTTTATTGCATTAGATAACTGCAGCCAAATCCTCTCAAAGCTGTCATCGTCAACTTCGGCGTTCCCTCTGTGTAACAACTCTTTATCATTCCTTAGTTTTCGAATGTTTTCAATAACTTGTTTCTGTCTTGAATCTTCTATAAGAAAATTTTTCAGCAAACAACTTGAGAAGGTTATGTCTAATATAGCAACATGTGTATTCAGAAATGTACGAGGAGAAAGCTTGCAGCAACAACAGCCCCTGTATTTAGGTGAACAGCACTGATCTAAATTTTCGTACAGTTGTCCTAGAACATCCTTGGGCAAAGGTGGTTTACCTCTGTAGTCGTCACCTACAGGGCATTGGCAACAATTTTTAGAAATCATCAAATGAAAAATTTCATGTTTTCTTTCCTCAAGAAAATCACCCAATTTCTGTCATTTTTGATTTCTCAGTTCATATTCAATCCTGTGTTGTAAAACGTTGGCACCATATTTCATCAAGAGCCATATGAGTTTAAGAAAGTTTGTCTCCTTCACATCAGCCATTTTGTCAAGTTGACTTTTTCTACTGAAAAAGGGTGACATATAAAATTTTGTATTTCTAGCTTACTTGAAGTTTTTTTTAACTTGAAATAACCAGTAGTTCTAACACAATCGATCAAAATTAAAATACAGTAGTAAATCTATGCCAAATGTGAATATGTGAAAACAAAGAAAGGGCAGGGAGCATATGTAAAGAGCGTTGTAAGTTTTTAGAACTTGTACCCAATTCTTTATGATTAAATTACAATAAAATATGTTTAAATCAAATAAAAAAGGAGTAAAGTTGGTTATTACACTTGTATCTGTAAACAATATACAAAATAAAAGGATGTTAGTGTGTCTACAACATTGAATTAACTTTGTCTTATCAAAGAAGTACTCTTCTTAATATTAATGTTGTCCTCTGCTGTTCAGTTTACTCCAATTTAAAACTTTTATCACCTAATTTAGCCTCATCATACCTCCAGGGGTAACGATTTAAACAATTTTGATCTACATTGAGACTACCTGAGGGTGCTTCCATATCAATAGGATTAAATATGCCTTTGCTGATGTTGACTCCTCCTATCCTCCTAGGCTATGAGTCGAACATACTTATATTTGTATTAATAATGGAACTAACCAAATTTCTCTTAACAAGATTTTTAAACGATGTCATTGAATTTTCACTTATTCTTCATATCTCTGAAAGAATGCATGTTCTTTCATTTAAACTTGAATTCCCTTCAACAATAGATTCTCTGCGGCTAGTTTGATTACATTTTCATGGCTTGGTGTTCTGTAGAAGAAGGGTGTGTGTGAAAAATTATCGGATTGACAGGGACAATGGAAAAACGTTGATCAGAAAAGCTCATTTGCACGTGAACAATCGCCCAAAACCAATCTTCAGTCAGACAGGGGTCCTGAGTCAAAAAGTTGCAATGAGATAAATACCTGACTAATGCCATTTGTTATAATTCAGTCTATTATTATTCAGTATTCCCTTCTCTCATTAGGAAGCACAGATTAAACTGCTGCTTTCATGTATAGAGGGATAATGTACACAGAAAGGAATTAGTTGACATCTGGAATACATAATGTACAAGGTGTTTAACATCAAGTTTTTATGTTACAAATGTTATTTGTGATTTTTGCAAAAGATATTGCTCCACTTAGACCATAATCAAAATATCGAATGAAATTTGTTTTGGGTCCCACTCCTGACAGTGGTGTTAAAGTACCCCTTTCTGGCGCAGATACTTAACATTGAGCTCCACAGTGATGCTGTGGAACCAATGACGTCATAGTTAATCATGGAAACGAACACGCCCTCTTTACTCATGAGTTATTTAGAACATTTGGTTATCATTAAATAAAAAAAGATCAACGATCCCGTGACGAGTATTATATCTTGAAACAACAGGCCACAGAAATAATGGTAAACAATGGAACATAAGCAGTTTCTTATTTTAGAATTGGAAATTTCGTCAGATCATGGGGTCATTGTTGAAGGCAACAAAAGAAATAATCGTGATGATCAGACGAGCCCCTTAAAATGATATTGTCAATAAAAGGGACGCAAAGGGTCTTTTGTGATCCTTTATGGGGTTTTCCATGATTTAAAACTCTGTTGTACTATCGATTGGTGTATTGAAAATGTAAACAATGGAGGTTTAAAAATGGGACAGTGTTGAATGAAACATTTAAATGGGGCATCAGTCAACCGAAACATTACAGTTAGAAACATGTCTCGATGAACACGGATATTGAAATGCTTTAAGCATCAACATTCCTGTATTCAATTTGCACATTGAAAAAAATGAAAATTAAAGAAAAAATAAATATAAATATGGCATCATCTTTGGACCGAAATACTATAGATAGCATATGTCTTTAACAAACATAAATACAGTTCAATGTCTACTACATCCTAATGATCATCTCAAGAAAGAGTGAAGGAGTAAGAATTATTTCTCTAAAATTTGTTGAACCTTTAAAATACACAATAAAATAAGACCGCGCTTGTCATACCTTTTTATCAGCATTTTCAGCATTTTCCTATACTAAGATCTAGAAGGAATTTCATGCCATTTAGTGATGATTAACCCCCCTCCCCGCAGTCACGTATTTTAACGCATATACCGTTTCCTATTACTGACGCAAAATCATGCATTTACCGTTTCCCCGCAATCACGCATTTTCACGCACTTTAAAAAGTTCATTATGTCTACAATTTATTGCAAATTTCAACTATTTCATACTTGCTTAATCTCATAAATAAGAAAAAAATTATTTTCTTATTAAAATATTACGTCATGATATTATTTACGCTAAACTTTAGAGAAACTTGTACCCTGCTCGAAAGTGCCTGCGGGGAAATGGTAACGTAATATTTCTATGACGTGAGGATTCATTTTATTTTGCATAACAATTTTGTAAGTTGTAAAGTGTTAAGTCAACATTGTAGATGGATTCATTGTCATTCATAAAAGAAGATGAATAGTTTTGACAGACAATTAGATATGAGACCTTATGAGAAATTCGCACAGATCTATAAATAAATGGTTTTGGAATTTCAGAACGTAATTGAAAAAAAAAGGATAATGAACCAATCCTAACTTGCTGCAGTGAAATCATTTTAGTTAGAATGAGCCTTAAAAATATACGCACAAAAATTCCTCAAACAGCTGTTTAAAGTTTGGGTTTTCCATATGAGTAATTTCACAAAATTTCTGTTAAAAGGTCTCGACAGCTTAATTTTGCCATTCAATTGTGAGATTTAAAGCCTTCAGAATCGAACGGTCGAGTAAACAATTTTACTAGTATTTTTTTCAATTGCAAGCTGGGCTTGATTTTATTCATAAAACATCTATATGGTCATATAATGGCATAGATTTAGTTAATTTCATCATTAGAAAATAATTATCATGATTATTACAAACATATTTGTCATATCTATGAATGTAACCCTTTTTTAACAGGGGAGAACATGCCTGCTGATCAGCTTTTGTGTGAGGATTGCTGGAAGTATTTCACCCGAATTTCTAATTTACATCGACATCAGCGAACTGCACATGGATCACAATCCTCACAATGTTCAACATGCGGTAAAAGCTTTAACAGAAGGGATAGCTATTTACGCAGCATTGTTAAGGCTTGAATAAAGGGGCGGGGCCTAATTTATACGGGAAAAGTTTATTGTGACGTCACACAAAAATATGACTTTTTTGTATTTCTCATTATACCTGAAAATGAAATTGTTTGCAATTTTTAACTGTATTAGCATAATTAAAAACAAAAAAAACCTTATCAATGCATTTAAAAAACTTGATATTTAAATCCCATGTAGCTGGTTATAGACAAAGTACTGATAGCGATGAACTTGTAAACATGACGTCATTTTGGTATACATGACTTATTTCATGTGCTGTGAGAGACAGATTGAGGAATCTTTTAACAATGAAAAATGCGTTTTATTATTAAACGAATATTATTTACAGGTTTTAGATAGTCGATTAATAAAAATGCATATCCTTTGTTTATTAGTGCGATTATTAATAAACTATCAAGAGAATGTATTTTATTAATTATGCCGTGATTTTATGTACAGGTTACGTATATTTTACATCGAGATTCCTCATAAAATATCTCACTTGTATCGTTTTTGTATATACATGTATATCTCAATGTACTACATGTATTTTAATTGCATGACATATAGTTATATTTAAGGAGAAGAACTCGTAAGTTGAAAGAACAATAAAATATGTTAAAAAAAAAACATAAAATCGTACTTTCGCAAGGGCATACACTTAATAGATCTTAACCATTTTTTGAATATAGATAAAGGATATTTATCTTAACTTGAAAAGTGCTGCTGCTTTCTTTAAATCGAGGGTGTGATTTTATAAGTACACAAAATATTTGGTAAAAGTCAAACATATATCGACATTGGCTTATTTACCTGAAAATTTAACTATTAAAACGTGAATTCTATTCAAAGCAGCAACACTTTCAGAAACTGCAAAGTATGTAGAAACAATTAATAGCTTGAATTTTTAATTTCAAATAGGGTATGCCCTTGCGATATTGAAATTTGTTCATGACCCACATTCAGTACACGAACTATGAATTTATCACGTGACTGTCTATCGATTCCACCAAACTTCATATAGTACAGAGTGGCTTATACTATGTTATTTCCATAAGTATTTGTGTTCTGTAATAAAAAAAACAGCTTAAATAAAATAAAATAAGTTTTAAAAAGGTCCCCCTTTTTTGCACGTCTAGCTATTTTCCGTTGATTTCTCATAGTAGGCCTTAACAGTGCTGCGTACTCACATCAGAGGGCACTCCAGAATTGTAGATCGGGAATCCCAACATGGCAAACCTGAAATGGGAGATCATTCACAAGATTCGAACAACTTCGACAAAGAAAATTTAACCCTAATTCCAAAATTCAACTTGGCGGCGGAGTTCTCAAAAAGTCCTTAAAGTAACATTTATGTTTTTTCCTAATATTATTCACACTATTGTTTAATTTTCAAACATGAAATTTATTTCTGATTGTTTAATTCTATCCAGATGATGACATTGATAAAGAATGTATTACCGAGGAAGATGCCATTGAGGGAAATTTAAAGAAAATATTCTTAGAGGCTACCGATAAAAGCAAATACGATCCTATGACTTTCACAAAAATCAAAGTAATGACAATCAGATCAATTCTGAAAGAAGAACGACTCAAAAGAAAAAGAATGAAATTTTACCTTAACCTACAAGTTCGTTTCAGCAAGACCAGAGGGGGTCATGCATGCTGAACCCTTTTTCCAAGGACGATGACACATAGTTCTCAAAAACGATGACGTCGAATCTGCACTTAGAGAGAGCATCATGAAAATTGTTACTAGTAACTCTTTTGTTGAATACCAAAGAGAAGGTAGTAACTGGTACTTGATAAAGTTCTGGGAGTCAACATCCATATCGTATAATATAATCCGATAAAAGGTTCGAGTTTCCTACCGCTGC